CACTGCACTCCAGTCTGGGCGACAGAGTGAGACTCCAACTCAAAAAAAAAAAATAAAATAAAATAAAAAAATAAATAAAGACTTCTGATCTAGAAGTAACAGCTATACCCACTGTATCCTTGCTTATTGTAAGCATCGTGTTCTACATGTATTAAAACTTCATTAAAAATAAGCCAGTCACAAAAGGACAAATACTGAATGATTCCATTTATGTGTAGTATCTAGAATAGTCAAATTCATAGAGACAGAAAGCAGAATGGTGGTTGCCAGGCACTGGGTGGAGGAGGGAATGAGAAGTTATTGTTCGATGAGCACAAAGTTTCAGTTTTGCAAGATGAATAAGTTCTGGAGGTGGGTGGCGGTAATGATTGCACAACAATGTGAATGTGCTTAAATGCCACGGAACTGTCTGCTTAAACATGGTTAAGATGGTAGATTTTGTTATGTGTATCTTACCTAGCATTTAAGGTCCATCCAGATAAATAGTTCAGTACTTCATCAATGTACATGTGGGTTCAATGTACACAACAGTTCAATCTCTCCTTTGGGGGTCCTTGAGGCCAAATTTTGAGCAAATGCTAATCCATAGAAGGTGCTAGAGTCAAATGTGCTGAGATCCTGGAGTATAACAGTGTCTGAAGGAAAAAGTTGAGGGATAATTTTACTGGACAAAATCCTGGATTGTGGATTTGTAAAATACATGACAACAACAACAAAAAATAGCAAAGCTCCACAACTTCTAAACCAACAACCAAACAATCAAGGATAACTTCTTTGAGAAGCAGCAGCACTCCTATATCTTAGTGTATCACAAGTGCAAAGCTCCCAAAAGTTAATGTTAATAAAACGTTCAACACATTCACTTCTCCATCCCAAACTCATGTATCTTAAAACTATGTGGATTTCATCTCCTTAGAGATGAATTTGGCTTAGGAATTACCTTTAAAGGTCTTAAAGTAAGAAATTCAAAACAGAGTAGAATAGTCTATGGCTACCTGGACAAACTTTGACTTACAGATATAACATCATTGGAACTCGGTACTGTAGGGATAGCTTTGACTTTCTTTCCACTGACAATTAGTATCTGACACCATGACAAGATTTAAGGAAAATCATTTTTTTTAAAATAGAGATGAGTATCACTATATTGCCCAGGCTGTTCTTGTACTCCTGGCTTCGAGCGATCCTCTTGCCTCAGCCTCCTAAATTGCTGGAATTATAGATATGAGCCACCATGCCCAACAGTGATCTTGCCTAGAAACTCAAAATCCCTCTCATCCTTCTTGGAAAGTTTGAGTGTGATTTTTTTTAAAAGCAATTATCTATAGTTTAGGGCAGTGGTTCTCAAGCCTGAGTGTGCACCTGCCTCCCTGAAGGGCTTGTTAGACTACAGATTGCTGGGCTCTGCCCCCGGAGGTTCTGATTCAGTAGGTCTAGAGTGGAACCTGAGAACTTACATTTCTAAGGAACTCCCAGGTAATGCTGATGCTGCTGGTCCAGGGACCACACTTTGAAAACCACTGGTTTAGTTAGTGGTCAGTAAACTATGGCCCATGTGCCAAATTCAGGCCCCTGCATGTTTTGCAAATACAGTTTACATAAAAGCCATGATCATTCATTTATATATTGTCTCTAGATCACAGATCTATATCATGATTCTCTAGATCATACTCCAATGACAGGACTGAATAAACAGAGACCAGACAGCTTGTGAAGCTGAAGATATTTGCTATCTGTTTCTTTACAAAAATTTATTTTCTCGTATTTTTTATAGAGATGGGGTCTCATTATGTTGCTTAGGCTGGTCTCAAGCTCCTAGCCTCAAGTGATCTTCCTACCTCTGCCTCCCAAAACACTGGGATTACAGATGTGAACCATTGTAAGCCCAGCCATGCTATCTGGTTCTTTTTTTTTTTTTGAGTTGGAGTTTCACTCTATCACCCAGGCTGGAGTGCAGTGGCACGCTTACTAGCCACCCCAGCATCAACCATCTGACTCAACCATCTGACTCCCTGCAATCCATCTGACTCAGCCTTCCAGGTAGACGAACTACGGCACATGCTACCGCGCCTGGCTAATTTTTAAAAAAATTTATTGTGGAGATGTGGTCTTGCCAATTTGCCCAGGCTGGTCTTGAATCCGCAGGCTCAGGCAATCCACTTGCCTTGGCCTTCCAAAGTGCTGGGATTACAGGCTGAGCCAGGGAGCCCGTCCACTATCTGGTTCTTTACAAAACATATTTGCTGATCCCTGGTCTAGGAAGTTTATCCACCAATGTTCCTCCCTTTTCTGTCAATTACTTACATGTATCACTTTTTTTTTTTGAGTTGGGTCTCACTCTGCCATTTGGGCTGGAGTGCAGTGGCAGTCATGGCTCACTGCAGCCTTGAACTCCTGGTCTCAGGCAATCCTCCCACCTCATCCTTTCGAGTAGCTGGAACTACAGGTGTGCACCACCACGCCTGGCTAACTTTTCAATTTTTTTGTACAGACAAGGTCTTGCTTTGTTGCCCAGGCTGGTCTCAAACACCTGACCTCAAGCAATCCTCCCTCCTTAGTCTCTAAGTTTTTTATTTTTAGAGACAGGATCTTGTCATATTGCTCAGGCTGTGTCAAATTCCTGGGCTCAAGCAATCCTCCCCCCTCAACCTCCCAAGACATTGAGATTACAGGCAGGAGCCACTGCACCTAGCTGTTTCACCTTTTAGAAAGCTTTATCTTGTAAACATAAAATACAAGTAGTTAAGAAGCTAAAATATCAGCCAGGCTCGGTGGCTCAGCCTGTAATCCCGCGCTTTGGGAGGCTGAAGTGAGTGGATTGCCTGAGCCTGTGGGTTCGAGATCTGCCTGGGCAACTTGG